CTGACTTATATCAAACTTGGGACTCTTTTTATTATTGGCTAGAGAAATGGGACTTGGCTTAGATTTAAATATGTTTTTAAGCTATCATAAATGGATTTAAATATGACTACACAATGTTAAAAAATATGAGTAGGGGGCTGACCCAGTATGTCTGATGTATTTGATGACTGATGTTTTTAGTGTTAGTTTAAAAATCTTAATAAAATGTATTTAAAAAAAACAGTTGTTCCATTAAGTAAAAAAAGAACTATAATTGTCAAGGGTCAAGCACATGGGACACACCAAATGTTCAAAGCCGAAAACATCACAAGAGTACAAAACCTTTCTGAAAAGGAAAAGGGAATGAGGGATAAATATTAAGGCCTTTCCACAATGCTGAACTGCATGCATGTAATGTCTGTGCAAGTTTTCATGAAAGTAGCAAGTAAGTATTTGTGCAGTAATAAAGGCATGCAGACAAAGTAGTTATGGAAGGAATTAAGTATTGCTTGTAGAAGGAGAAGGGTAAATGTGTATGTACCATTATTAATAAAGTCAGCTTCAAAAAAGCCAATCACAATGAGGAACTTTTCCATACATGTCTGCATACCTACCCAAACCTGTTCACTTGTCACAGTTAGTTCCCTGGACTGTTTAACCTAGGAATTGGTAGGAACATGCAGGAGTGAGCAAGTGTGCTGCTTCTGATGCTACTTCTGTTCTCATTTAACAATGCAGTAATGTCTTGTTCTTGGGTTGTTTCTTGATGTCCAAACCTAGAAATCTTGATCTGTTTATCAGTTAAACATCCCAGAGTTAACCTAACAATAAACCATAGGTAATACCCAAAGAACCTACAGTTCTGGGTTCAGATGTTATGAAACAATCCAGGATCATGACAAACTTGTGTTGTTAATTGAAAATGGACTTGGTAGTAGTGTGTTTGCAGCCCTCAGCTGTTGGCAGCCCTCAGCCAGTAACTGGATGCAACATGCATTTTAAGTGTGCTGATTTGAGTTTTGACTACAGAACTGCTGAGAATCCTAGGTTCCAGTATTACTTAGCAATAAAACTAACTGTTAACGGGACCATTACTTTTGCTCAGCTGTACTTACCTCAAAACCTTGTTGGATAAAATGGGGATGGAGAGAACTATGCATATCACTCCTGGGAGGAAGAGTGGGATAAAACCTATCTCTTCAGAGTCAACTGTATGTATTGTTACAACTTCATTGTTAAGTAACTCATCATGCTATATGGAGAATACAGCCCAAGATTTACTAAGGGCCTAAGCAAATAATTCTAGTCTAAATACCCTCCTGTACTTTTGCAGTGATCCATCAAGCTCCTGATGGTTTGGCTGGAGGAAATGGCCACATGGTACCTGCTCAGTGCAGACAATGAGAAAAGGGCAACTAAATTTCAGTGATAACCCATCAAAGTCAACAGAACCTGCCAGTCCAATATCTTGATCAGTTTGGTGCCCAATAAGCTTGTTTCCAGTTTCTTTGTAATCACAGGAGCACAGAGTAAAAGCAGAAGTTTTATTAAATCCTTAGTAAACCACCATAGAAACATAGAAACAGAGTCAGAAGGGGCCTCCCGGGCCATCTGGTCTGAACCCCGGCTCCAGCCGGCTCCACTCACGACATGCCCACTATGCGCATGTCCAGCCTATCTTTGAACACCCTCACCGATGGGGCCTAAACTACCCCCCCTAGAAGCCCATTCCACACCCTCAGGGTCCTAACTGTCAGAAGGTGCTTCCTGGCATCTAAATGGAACCTTGGCTCCCTAAGCTTTGCTCCGATGGATCACATCCTGCCTTCCTCTGCAGGGGAGAACAGGTCTCTACCCACCTCCGTGTGACATCCCCTCATATACCTGTATGTCGCCAACATATCCCCTCTGAGTCTCCTCTTCTCCAGGCTGAAGAGACCCAGTTCCCTCAGTCTTGCCTCATACGGCATCCCCTGCAAACCAGCCACCAACCTTGTGGCCCTACGCTGCACTGACTCTAACCTGGCTATATCCTTCCTGTAATGAGGGGCCCAAAACTGAGCACAATACTCCAGCTGCAGGCACACTAGAGTCGTACAGAGTGGTAGTAATACCTCTCTCGATCTAGAAGCCACACTTCTGGCTATGCAACCAAGGGTGGCGTTCGCCCTCTTGACCACCACATCACACTGCTGACTCATGTTTAGCCTGCAGTCAACCAGCACCCCGAGGTCCCTTTCACAAGTGCTGCTCTTCAGCCACTTGTCCCCTAACCTGTACTTACACGATGACACCTATTCCTATGGCACAAGTGCAAGACCTTGCACTTATCCACATTGAACGCCATCCTGTTGTCTCCTGCCCACTTCCATAGTCTGTCCAGATCCTTTTGGATCTGGAGTACCTGCTCCTCAGTTGTGACCACTGCCCCCGTTTTAGTATCGTCTGCAAATTTGATCAGCAGACTGTTCACCCCTTCTTCCATGTCGTTTATAAAAAGACTAAACAGGATCGGCCCCAGGACAGAGCTCTGGGGGACCCCGCTTGTCACTGGCCGCCATCCCGATGATTCCTCACTAATGGTTACCCTCTGCTTTTGGTCAGTCAACCATGCCCTAATCCACCAGACAGTGCTTTGGTCTATCCCAAAACTCCTCAGTTTCTCCACCAGGATATCATGGGGCACTTTGCCAAAGGCCTTGCTGAAATCCAGGTATACCACATCCGCAGTCAACCATGCCCTAATCCAGAGGTCAGCAACCTTTAACACTCAAAGAGCCATTTGGACCCATTTCCCACAGAAAAGAAAATACCGGGAGCCGCAAAACTCTTTTGACCTCTAAAATGAAAATAACACTGCATATATCGTTTTTTATGCTATGTATAAAAAAACTATAGTGTGTTGCATTTATGAAACAGATCGGGGGCTGTGCTGTGCCAGCGCGGGTCACAGATCGGCAGCTGTGATGCGTATTTTAAGCGACGGAGCCGCAACAGAGGGGTTCAAGAGCCACGTGCTTCTCCGGAGCCACGGGTTGCTGACCCCTGCCCTAATCCATCCAGGTAAACCACATCCACTGCATCCCCTCCATCTAGCCATCTCGAAACCTTGTCGTAGAATTCCACAAGGTTTGTCTGGCAGGACCTGTTATTGCAGAAGCTGTGTTGTGTGGCCGCCAGCCTCCCTTCCCTATCTAGCATCACTAGATCTCTCTCTATTATGAGCCTTTCCATTGTTTTTCCTACAATGGACATAAGGCTAACTGGTCTGTAATTCCCCATGTCCCTTCTACTACCCTATAAGTGGCTGATAGACTGCATTTTTCCTGTTCAGGTCTACACAATGGTTTCACAGTCCCAATGCATGTAATCTTATCATGTAAAGACCAAGGCTGGGCTTTGATGCATTTGTCCTGAATTAAATTGATGGAAGGATGTTGTACTATTCATTCATTCATTCATTTTACTTCTACGCTGCCCCCTAACCTGAGGGTTCTCTGGGGAGCTTACAGATGCTGAACCAGCACATATTGTACTCCTCCTCCATGCTATTTCCCATGATATCCAGTTAGAGAGCAAAATGAGGAGAAAATTCAATTTTCATCTTTGCTGCAGAAACTCATCCAGAGAATCTAGCCTTGCTAAGTCCAAAGCTAGTTAGTGCAATTCTATCCCATGGCAGGACTTGCAGACTACACTGAATTCCCAAAACAGCACAATGTTTAATCACTGCCTTTAGTGCTTTGCATGATTTAGCCCTTGGAACGTAAAGCAGACATGCAACCAATGAATGGGATAACATATAAAACACAGTTGATATTACACATGCACTGTTAATTCCCAGGGAATAAAGGAAAACACATGCCCAGTTGAATCAACATTACCAAATATGGTTCATGCTATGGTGTGTACATTGATTCCCATACACTCAGAATTGCTGGAGAGAAATAACAGGTTTCAATTTCTATCTGAGGCCAGCCATAAGAATAGGAGGAGAGTGCTCCCACCTGCTCCATTCAATTCCTTCAGTGAGCAAGAGATTGCCAAAGATACTGAGATAATTTCTAGATCTACTGGAATTTGAAATTGTGAAGCATGTAGAAAGGTTTGGAATTCTGCGTCCTGGACCCTATCAAGCTTAACTGGATGTGTGCTCCACACTTTATGTTTTGGCATGCAAACTGGAAAAGCTGCAATTAGCAAAAAGATTCTGCCTCTGAAAACTGGCCAGTGCTGCCTATCTGGGAGGAAGCTGATATCAAACCTTATTTTGGAAGTGCTACTTGATGGATCACAGCGTTAAGATTATTCTGACTTGACAATAACTTATTAAGCTGCCCTGTTAGCAGGAAACAAAGAAGCCTGCAAGACAAACTGCCATTATAGCTTTCTTCACCTGCTGCAGATTCTCCACCCTTCTCCTCCCACACCGCCCTAGGACAAGATGCAGCAAACTGTCATTATCACCACCTCTTTAAATAGTCTACTGTTTTAATTGTTGTTTTGACTGACCTTGTGGAAGTGTGATTAAAATGCTATATATGCATAAATTAACCAAGCAAGCTGTCTTGTACTAATGGTGATACTGAACAAACATGGGAGCATATTCACCCTACTAGTGCTGGACCAAAGTGTTCAGGACAGGCCTTTTCCAGCATCTGATGGAGGAAGGAGAGGAGTGACCCTTTTAAAGATTGGATTAACCTGCAGAGAGCAACATCTCAACATTTTCAAGGGAGGGTGACTTAAATACTAGATGGCCAACAGGTTTTTTCCTCTTTGTCCCACCTTCTTCCTTTTTTGAGAGGAAAGGTTCATTTTGACTTCAAGCAGCTGCAACCTGGCAGGGTTCCTTTTAGACCTGGAACAGGACCTTGTTCCCAGAGACAGTGTAAAGGGCATGAAGGGCAGATAGCTACTCCCATTGTAGTTGTATATACTGCACCTCGTTATGTTGCTATTTGTCACTAAGAGCAGGGAATAGAGGCTCCTGATTCCATTATCATGTATTTACTTTATACCTTGTATTTTGAAGTGTCCCAGTTATGAACAAGTCGTGCAGGAATGAGAAAGCTGTCATCCACGTGACAGATGTTGCAGTAGTACCATCCACTGTAGCTGCACACTTTTGCTTTGCCATTGGATAGGCCTATGGAACGCTGACAACCTGCCAATTGAAAAAAAGAAAAGAGTGCTTTAAAACACAAAATTCTTAATTACATTCAAGGCAACCTTCATAAACTATTTCACAGGGTCTATTGACATCCAAACCACATCCTGCTGGTTTGTAGCTCTTCTACATGTTTAGTGCACTCTAGGCAAGAGTCATCAAAAACCCCATCCATTCTACTACTACACCTCAAAAGTATTGGGGGCACAAGGGAGTGAATAGGTAAACAAAGTGGGAAACAACCTCAGGATAGAGAAAGCAGCTGCATGTAACAGTAACAAATTATGGGTTAACTAATTAACTAAACAAACCAGCTCTTGGGTCTGTGTTTGCACATGATGACAGCAATTTGTGCATTAATTAATTAACCCACTATTAGCCACAGAAGGTGCCAGTGCTTTCTATGGCTTCTGTGAATATTCAATCCCCAGTCAGGGTGATTAGGGGTTGTTATGTGATGTCCAAAACTGAATGTTCTAGATTACCTACAATTAGTTATTAGGTTCAGAATGGGTTGTTCAACTCATCTGAGTGTCTGCATTGAGCCATTATGTAATTTTATTTATTTATTTAAAACTTTTGTATGCCCATCACCACATGCCTAGGCATCTCGGGACGGCTCACAATACATACAATTAAAAACAATAAAATGATCTTTATAAATAAGAAATTCAATAAAAGATTTCATAAGGACAAAAAAACAAAAACAAAAAGAGCAATTCAATGATAAAATATTAGTTTTTAAAATAGTGATAAAGGTTTTAACCTGGTGCCAAAAAGAATATAAACTCGGTGCCAGGTGCACCTCTCCAGGGAACACATTCCATAATCTGGACACCACCGCAGAGAAGGCCCTGCTCCGCGTAGATGTTCTTTTTATCTCCTTTAAAGAGGGCTCCTGGAGCAGAGCCTCTTCCGCTGGTCTTAAGGGGCATGAGGGCATGTAAGGGAAGAGGCGTTCCTTCAGGTATCCTGGTCCCAAGATGTCCAGGGCTTTATAGGTTAAAACCAGCACCTTGAATTGGGCCTGGACTTCAACTGGAAGCCAGTGGAGCTGGTAGAGGACCGGCGTTATACAAGAATAACGACTGGTCCCCATCAGCAGCCTGACAGTTTTGTTCTGTACCAGCTGAAGTATCTGGACCATTTTCAAGGGCAGCCCCATGTAGAGTGCATTACAGTAATCCAACCAGGAGGTTACCAGAGCATGAATCACCATTGCTAAGCAGTGCTTGTCCAGGTAAGGATGCAGCTGGTGGATCAGCCAAAGTTGTACGAACATGCTCCTTGCCACCACCGCCACCTGGAATTCCACTGACAGCTCTGGATCAAGGAGCACTCCCAAGCTGTGGACCCTGTCCTTTAGAGGGAGTGCTACCCTGTGCAGGACAAGGTCAAAGTCACTTACCTGAAACCTCAATCTACCCACCAACAGGACTTCCATCTTATCTGAACTGAGATTCAGTTTATTGGCCCTCATCCAGCCCATTACCTCGGCCAGGCACTGGTTCAGTACCGTCACTGCCTCACATGGAGTAGAGTGGTAGAGCTGGGTGTCATCAGCATACTGGTGACACCGCAACCCAAACCTCCTAATGACCTCTCCCAGCGTTTTCATGTAGATGTTGAAAAGCATAGGGGACAAAATAGGCCCTGCGGAACCCCATGGCACAACTGCCATGGTGCAGAGCTATAGTCCCCAAGCACCACCATCTGGAATCGTCCAGCCAGGTAGGAACTGAACCACTGCCACGCAGTGCCTCCTACTCCCAAGTCAGCCAGCCTATCCAGAAGGATACCATGGTCGATGGTATTGAAAGCTGCTGAGAGGTCCAGGAGAAGCAATAGGGATGCACTCCCCCTGTTCCTCTCCATGCACAGGTCATTGTACAGGGCGACCAAGGCAGATTCAGTGCCATAACCAGGTCTGAAGCCAGACTGAAATGGGTCCAGATAATCCGTTTCATCCAAGAGTGCTTGGAGTTGTCCTGCCACCACCCACTCTAACACCTTGCGCAGAAACGGGATGTTGGCCACCGGTCTAAAATTGGCAGCCACTTCTGGGTCCAGGGATGCCTTCTTCAGGATAGGCCGGATCACCGTCTCCTTCAAGGGGACAGGGACCCAGCCCTCCCTCAGTGAGGCACTGACAACCTCCCGGACCCAGGGATCAATCCCTTAACTGGCTCCTTTAAGTAGCCAAGAGGGGCAAGGGTCCAGGACGTACCATTCCAAGCATCTTGTCCACATCATCAGACCACAATAACTGAAACTCATCCAATAATGATGGACCAGACGGTGCCCTGGACACCTCCCGTACTGGAATCAAATCAACGGTGGAGTCCAGATCGCAGTGAATCTGAGCAATTTTTTCCCTAAAGTGCTGGGCAAAGTCATCACAGCGGGCTGCTGAAGGTGCAACCACTTCCTTCTCCTGGCCAGAATGTATCAGGCCTCGCACCACTCGGAAAAGCTCTGTCAGACGGCACTGTGAGGAAGCAATGGAAGCAGAGAAGAACTGTCTCTTTGCTGCCCTCACCACCACAGCATAGGCACTATAATGTGCAAGTAAGTGTGTTTGGTCAGATTCGTCCTAAGATTTCCTCCACCTGTGCTCTAATCATCTCCCAGTCTGCTTCATCGCCCGCAACTCAGGGGTATATCACAGTGCCAAGCGGGCTCTGCTAGGCAGAAGAGGATGCTTAGGAGTGATCGTGTCGATTGCCCTGATCATCTCCTTATTCCACGAGTCAACCAGGACATCAACAGGAACGCCAGCTATATCTGCTGGAAGATCCCCCAGAGCCCTCAGGAATCCATCCAGATCCATCTGGCTCTGGGGGCGGACCATCCTAATAGGAACCTCACCCTTCTGGAGGGAGAGATCAGACCCGAGCTCAAACCTCATGAGGAAGTGGTCTGACCATGACAGAGAAGTTAAGATCAAGTTTCTCTCTTTCAGGCCACTCTCTTCCCGTCCCATTGAGAAAACCAGGTCAAGTGTGTGACCTCTTTCATGGGCTGGTGACATGTTGAAACAGCCCCATGGCTGTCATGGAAGCCATGAAGTCCTGAGCCGCCCCAGACAGATCCACCTCAGCATGGAGATTGAAGACCCCCAGGATGCTGGTCCTCAACACCAGGTCCGAGATGATCTCTCTCAGCTCAGGCAAGGAGTCTGCTGGGCAGGAGGGTGCACGGTACACTAGCAGAGTCCCTAATTAACCCACAGGTTACTATGTGCAAACGGTCCCAAAACATAGTTTTTCAACTATTTGCCGGACAAGCCATGAGTACGGCAACGAACACTGGGGTTAAATAAGCCATGAGTTAATGTTACATATGAAACTTGTATGTATGTGAAAGTTGAATGTTTTATTCCCAATGGATAAAAAAAAGGTTGCTGAGGTTTCAGAGCAACTCTGAATGTAGCTGCTAAAAAGTTATGTGAGGAGGCCATGACAGGAGAAATTAGTAAAGCAAGGCCAAGCAGCCATGCAAGGAACTGTTTCCCGATATCCCAACTGAGACCGCAAGGGGAAATACAACTTTAGAATCAAAGCAGAGATTCTTAGGAATCCACATTCTTAGCTAGGCCTCACCCTGTGTTCTGCATATACACAGTTGCAAATGTAGCAGGTTTCCTCAACAGGTCTATATTCCTCTGCCTTCTTCCATGATCTCTCCCAAGGAAGCAATTTCTGCTAAGCCTGTTCTCTTGCAGTATAGCTATTCACTTCCCTCTTGATTCATACTTGCCCTCTATTTCCTTGACAACACATTTTTGACCTGTGTCATATAGCATAACGCAGACAACACAGTCTGGGTGGCTGAGAGAAGCACAAAATGACAAACCTAAGAGAAGAGACATGCAAAAGCAGTGCAACATCACCTCCTGTTAGACACAATTCTTGTAGCTGTTGTGCTCTTCTCTCGCTTGATGGGTTAAACTGTACAATACCACCCCTCACCTTGTGCCTTCCTCCTGCTGCATGCTTTATTTTACAAGGCCTGTTATTTCTACAGCCCCTTTGCATGATAAAGCAGTCGATTCCTTTGATGTTATGAGGTTCAAAGTGATGGATGGTGACAAATATATCACAGTGGCAGACACCAATTAAGCCATTTGTACAAAATAAAGAAAAAGAAGGCAGCAGTGATATACAATGCAAGGTTGAGGATCTTTGTAGCTTAGAGAGCCTGGATCCTAAGGCTCATAACGCAATTCTTTTCCTAGGGGGCTTTTGTGCTCCCTCATATTTAATGAATGGAATGCCTTTTCCTCTTTACAGGTTTTAAGAGATGTGAGCAGCACATTTGAAAATCCAAAGGTGTGAACCAGCAAGCACCACTTTGTCAGATGGACAGAATGGATTTTCTACTAGTACTAAGTGTCCATTTGGATACCAACATGTGGAACAAATCCCAAAAGATGGAATCATAACTGCTGTTTTTTACTAAGAGATCCATCTCATGCTCATAACTCCTGAACCAGAATGTTGCCTGTGTCATACTGGAACCAATACACCATTAGCAAACAGGGAGGTAAGAAGATAGGTAAATAGAAAATTAGAGGGACAGGTGTTATAGGTAAAATAGTATTTAACTGAAAAAATGTAAAGAAATCCATGCCTAATGAAAAATAACCGTAAGGTTGTAAGAGATACTATACCTAGGGAAGCTATTTCAGACCCCAATAGGAGGGGGAAACAGGTTTCAGTGATGGTGCACGTAACATGCATTACTCAAGTTCCAAAGGTCTGCCCTTTCAGACTGCAGCAAATCTTGTTTACTCAAGCCCAAAAGATAAACAAGAGTGTACCTTGTCTGGGGAGCTGTATGACACTGGCAGATTCCTACTTTAACTTCAAAAGGGGAGTGAGAGATCTGACCCCATTCCCCTGACCACTCACAATCGTCATAGAAAGAACTATGCTGGCTGCTCTCCATGTAGGAAAAAGGACCTTGGAGAGGGGAAAGGGGTGTTCTGGTGGGTA